GCATAAAAATAAAGTATTTTATTTTTTGTTTTTAAAAACATATTTTTTGTTACACCTAGCAGCCAGTAACAAATTGCTGTCGCTCTTAAATACATTAATAGCCTCTAAACATGGCAAACAAAGATCTAAGTAAACTAAAAGTTAATTTTTAATTAGTTTTAATGAAGCTTTATTCCTGTCGTCCCGCCACTTTGCGTTCATATAACGGAGAATACTCTTTCTGTAAATGCTGAAGTAGAAGGAACGGACAGCAAAAGTGACACTACTTTGAACAGATTTGGGAAATCAGGTTGTTCCGTAAATATGCCTTGCCATTTTTCTGTGCAATATTATTGATATAAAAATACTCTAAATTGCGAATAATCGCTTACGATGTTTACTTAAGGCCTTAAATAAAGTATTTTTGCGTACTTTATGTGTCTTGTAAAGTATAACGTACGCACAGTCGAAATAGAGTACAATACTTTATAATAAAGTACGGGTGGCAACCCTAGCTGTACCTCCAAAAGCCCAAACATACGTAAATCCGGCCCTGGCGGTACCTACACTTCACTGCTGAGTTATTGATGAGTCTATTTATTAGGTGAGACTAATTACTATTTCCTGCCTAAATGTGAACAAGTATCAGTTGTTAACATTGTTGAGATTTCGTTTCTATCTGACCGGTATGCTTTTTTTTGCAAACCCTTTCGATTGAATTGTGTACTTGCAGTACCTCACATTTAGCGAGACGTGACTTTTTTCGTATTTGAATAAATTTCTCAAAGGTTCGCGCTGCCTTTCGTGAATAATAGCGGCTTTTAATCACCAATTAAAACTTTACAAGTATTGTCATGGAACAATAAAAAGAAAACATGCGGGAGCGGCCGTCGGGCTATTATATCACCCTTCATCGTAGACCACCTACCATTCAAAGCCAACATTAATTGGAATCTCGTGAAAATTTCTATTGTCAGCGTCATGTGCGATTTATATTTTGAATACTTATCAACTCATTTTTGTTTAACAGGTTTTTCTTATTAATTTCTTGTTACGGCATACGTTTCAGCCGTGCTACCGGTCGTCCGGCATTCTTTTCTAATGAACGTAGAATTTTAATCTGATATATGATCTGATACAAAAAGTGTAACCATTGAATATAAGCCCATATGAACATATATATATTTTTTTCATTTGTTCAATTTAAAAAGTAGGTATTTAAATTCATATTAGCCGCCTTATCTATTTCGATAACAATTTGAAGAGTGATATAAACAAATTAATTTTTTAGCTATGAATTGATGCAATATAAACACTTTCTAAATATACATACTACATAGCTGTATATAGTATCTTTATTTTGATAAAGAAATGATTATTTATATTATTTTATATTTTAAATTTTGATTCATAGTTAATTTAACTCATGAAGTTGGCAATAAGTAAGTTGGTATTAAAAATGTGGTGCTTTATACAGCTCTATTAATGTGTACTATACTTATTAACTCTTTGGTTCCTTTTAAAAAATGGTCGGTGGTTATGTGTTTGTTCTTACCGTACATTATTCCTATCATTTCAAGCATTTTGGTATTAATTAATAGAAAATTGATTAGGAACAAATTGATATCAACATGGTGAGTTATTTTCTCATTGTATCAACATAATCTAGGTATAAGTTACGTTATGTTAAAGTATTTATCGACCAAGTGGTTGTTTGATCATGAAGCATTTGCTCTCTATTGGCGAATAGGTATTGATAATATGGCGGTTTTTGCTATTTATAACTTTAATATTTAGAACAATAATAAGGTATGTTACGTACAATTTTGAATACGAGTGGCTAGTTAATGGTTACTGAAAGCGATAGTATGTATATATCTCAAAGATGATCAATTTTATAAAATTACAGGTATTATACATGTATGTATGCATTCATTGTATTACGCACCATTGTACCAATTACACTTTTTAGATTTTTTTTACATGAAACAGGCCTCTTACCTTCTTTTGTTTATACTTAATTGTAAGTATTCTAGTCAATTGCGTATATACCTAATTACTGAGGTTTATTAAAACTTAAAGCTATTTTCACTTGCCAACACTTATTTTTATCTTACCTATATTCCTTTGTTACACCTTTTTCACTGTCCTAAAGAAAAACAACCCCCCTATTCCTTAAAGTTTTTTTCAGTCGACTTAGCTCACCTTGTCATCCCATTCTCATTTGCCAGTTCATAGCATTCTTCCTGTTTTACTATCCTACCAACACATGCTTCAATTTACCTCCCTGTTACTTATCCAACATCGTCTTTCCTCATCATTCTTCCAATATTTACATCCTCTACACTCATTCCCTGTCTTAAATTTTGCTAGCATGTTTATTTCCTTTCCTTCTTCTAAATACCTTGGTACCTACCCAACCCCGTTGCAAGTCCTACGAAATCTACCCCAGCCCCACCACAAATCTTAAGTTCTCTGTTTTTCTTAGATTATCTTTTTTCAATTTTCCTGCATCTGTACTTCAACATCAGTCTCCTACCAATCATCCTCACATAATTTCCCATCTAACCTGTATACCCTTGCCATATTTGCCCTCCCCGTAACCGTTTTGATTAGTTATATGTGCCTTAATCCTATTATTATTGCTGTCACCATATATCCTAGGTATGAATAATTCCTCACTTTTTCTATCTGTATTCCCTTCCATACTATTTTGTTTTCTTCCCTTCCTCTTCTTTCTCTCTCCCCAAATTCCGTAAGCTTTGCTTTTTCACTATTTAGCTCCAACCCTTTCTTTTTCTTTTCCACTACTATCCCTTCCTTCCCTTATTATTTCCCTCATTCTACCTTCCAAATCATTCAAAATCAACCTAAATTGCGCCTGAAATAAAGGCCCTACATTTAAAGAATTCTTCTGTTATTTATTGTTGCGCATATGAATTTTCCAATTTAAGATAAGGGAGAATAATACTTTGGAATCATAAGCGTGAAGGAAATATCTGAATATGTCCAGAAATTGTATATGAACTTCTATATTTCCTGGAAACGGGTGGTTAGTACAATATTCACAGTCTAGTAACGTAGGTGTACAACAAAATGAGTCAGATATATCCCGCAGTCGGTTATTATCGCGTTAGAACCCTCAAAAGCACCTCGAGGGACGATTTCAGCTTGTCCCTGGAGCTTTGAGGCAAGCGCGGCATTTATACTAACCCAATAAACTCGCCGGTTGGATGCGGATATGAGATATGCATAAATTATATCTCCTGCTCTCCTAAATATATATGTACATATCTACTGTAATTCGTATGCTTGGCCACATTTATCGCAAAATGTATATTGTAAGTACACTCTCCAAAGATATAAAGGTAGGCAAATCAATATCATAAGTAAATTCTTATTATAATTGAGTAATAAAATAATTTGAAGCGGTCTGTATTCTGTCGAAACTGCCAGACGCGGATCGCGATTTCGATCTTTTTGGATCTCATCAGCGCGTCGCAGGCAGCTCCGAGAGAACACAGACCAACCTTTACCTGCTGTCTTAACAGCGCGTTTTAGAAAATACTACAAATGGCGCGGTAAACGCCATCTGTAGTACGATGCTACATTTTAGGATTACGTACGCTCCAACAAGGTCCATTTAAATATATGGATATCTACTTGCTGAAACGAATCCCGGCGTAGTCAACCTCAACGTGATAGGCACGTTAGCTTAATCGAATAAACTAATTCGAAGTGGTCTGTATTCTGTCGAAACTGCCAGACGCGGATCGCGATTTCGATTTTTTTTATAATTGAGTGACATTTCTTCTATTTCTACATAATTGTCATTTACTCCACCTTTCCGATGGATGTCAATATGTCTTGACAGCGATTTTCGTTGTTGGTAAAGCATGTCTATTCAACGAGGTCTTCAGTTATTGGAAAAGATGAAAATTAATCGGTGCAAGGTCTGGACTGAACGGTGGATGGTAGAAAACGTCCTGCTTGAATAGTTCGAGAGGACCTAGCATCATGATGGTACAGCGCGGTCGTGCATTGTCATGAATGAAAATCACGATGATCCACCGTGTAGTTCAGACATTACGCCGAGTGATTTTAGCCTTTTTCGACAGTTGAAAGCAAGATTGTGTGGTTGCCATCAATTGCTTCAGAACACTGCCAAGGCAAATCTGCTTGACCTCACTTGCGGTAAACTATTGCGAAAAGGGCATCGGAAAGCTGTTGTCCAAAGGTTTTTGACTTTTTGGACTTTTCTAAGATATACCTACTGCACAGGGTACAATTACCATTAATCATCTTCTAATGTTCTGCAACATTTATGGATAAAATATATAACAGAGGCTTAAGTTTGTGGGACACGGTAGCCAGCTTCAAAAGGGTTTGATTTTTGAATAAATTATCTTAGTATTATAAAAGTGTAGATGACATTGAATTATTGTATAACTGTCTGACTTATTTTACTATGCAATTTCGTATGATTTATTGTCTTTAAGAAAAGTTTTATACATTGGCAACGCTGTGATATAGACGACGTTGTGTTCGATTTAAGCGTGCATAATTTATACGACAGGTCTGGCATTTTTCGACATTAAGGCATAAATAGTGCATACGTGTAGAGTTCAAGTCTACCATTAAGGCAATTACGAAAGAACGTACGGTATGTGACGTGCGTGCGTTGGACCGCGATCTTTCGTATGTGGGAGAAATGTGGCAGACACGCAAATCGCCTATCGACTAGGTCCTCTCTGTTACATTTTTCTCACAAAATACGTTCCCATCGGCCCCGTTTATTAATTATGATTTACATAAACGATCTGTCGATTACAGACGAATAGAAAAATGCTCCGGGGAACTAAAACTTGCAGGTCAAGAAACAAACCAATTTTATTTGCATGAGTATTAGGTAGGTACCTCCCGTCGTAAAAATTAAGATCATCACTGTCATACTCTCAATAAATGCCCATTCTACTGTTCTTGGGAAAAATAAATTAGGAATCTTTAATAAGATTTTGAAATTAAAATTACGCGTTGTATCTATTATTAACTACATATATGTATGTAAGAATTGCAACTAACGCGATTACCTCCCACAAGCTTTGTGGTTTTTGAGAAATTTGTAATTTGAGTAAAATGAAATTATATGAAGAAACTGGATTTCAGTATTTAATCCGTGTCTTATTGATGAAATCCCCATGACAGATCATGGTGGCATCAAAAGTGTTCCACGTTTCGTTTCCTATTACCAGGAATATCTTTCAGCATCATCGTTGGATATTCTGTATCGATAACCTGAAGTTCCTAAAGATTATCCTTGTGATAGCAAACGAAATATGGAACACTTTTGACGCCACCATGATCCGTCATTGGGATTTCATCGATAAGACGCGGCTAGACTCCGGAAATCCAGTTTCTTTAGACTACAGCCGTGATAGCTTAAATCAATTTCTAAACAAAAATATGAAGAAACTGGATTTCAGTATTTAATCCGTGTCTTATTGATGAAATCCCCATGACAGATCATGGTGGCATCAAAAGTGTTCCACGTTTCGTTTCCTATTACCAGGAATATCTTTCAGCATCATCGTTGGATATTCTGTATCGATAACCTGAAGTTCCTAAAGATTATCCTTGTGATAGCAAACGAAATATGGAACACTTTTGACGACACAATGATCCGTCATTGGGATTTCATCGATAAGACGCGGCTAGACTCCGGAAATCCAGTTTCTTTAGACTACAGCCGTGATAGCTTAAATCAATTTCTAAACAAAAATATGAAGAAACTGGATTTCAGTATTTAATCCGTGTCTTATTGATGAAATCCCCATGACAGATCATGGTGGCATCAAAAGTGTTCGACGTTTCGTCTTGTATCACAAAAGACATCTTTCAGTATCATCGCTAAAGATCCTGTATCGACAGCGTGAAGTTCCTGAAAATTATTCTTGTGATAGGAAACGAAACGTGGAAATCTATTGACTCCACTATGATCCGTCATTGGGATTTCATCAATAAGACGCGATTAGAATCCGGAAATCCAATTGCTTCAGACGACAGCCGCGAAAGCTAAAATCAACTTCTAAATTAAAATATGAAGAAACTGGATTTCGGTATTTTAACCGCGTCTTATTGATGAAATCCCCATGACAGATCATAGTGGCATCAAAAGTATTGTACGTCTCGTCTTCTATCACAAAGGCATCATTCAGTATCATTGTTGTTGGAAATGCTGTATCGTGAACCTGAAGACGTTCATTGTGAAAAAATACAATATGTCGAACAGTTTTGACGCAGACATGATCCGTCATTGGGATTTCATCAATAAGACGCGGCTAGACTCCGGAAATCTAGTGTCTTTAGATGACAGATCATGGTGGCATCAAAAGTGTTCGACGTTTCGTCTTGTATCACAAAAGACATCTTTCAGTATCATCGCTAGAGATCCTGTATCGACAGCGTGAAGTTCCTGAAGATTATCCTTGTGATAGGAAACGAAACGTGGAACTGTATTGGCGCCACTACGATCCGTCATTGGGATTTTATCAATAAGACGCGGTTAGAAGAAAGGGTCGCAGGTTAAGAAAACAATGTTAATTATTTATTTAAGGTCAGAAATTTGCCAAAAATG